ATGGGAGATAGGAGTTGAAGGAGACTGGATTTTGTTGGCCCAGGACAGGGTCCGGTGGAGGGCTTTGGTTAATTTGGTGATGAACTTTCAGGTTCGGTAAGCCATCTAGTTAGTTGCTTTATAGATCTTAATCAGTTCACAGTTAGACCTTGAAAACACGAAGCTTAGTTCTGACAACAGTCAGAATTCAGTAAGTTTTGAATGTGAACAGTTGTGCTAATTAGTATCCTTTTATTTCCTGGCTAGTAAACTGATTTTGCTGATGAAAAATGTTGTACTAGACTAATCTGGCCTGCGCTTTGAAATTGGTTTTCTGTTGTTTTTATTTGATGTTTATGTTAAGAGATGACAACCATGCAGGATTTTTTTGACGTAAATACGTCTATATGGAAGGGTCAGTGTCATTCCGCAAAAAAGTGTAACGAAAAATTGTTACGAAAATGTGTAAGGAAAAAGTGTAAGATGGTTACCTAGGAAATATCAACAATTTGTAAATATGGACTGTCAACAATGGTCAGCTTGTATGCATTATGTTGCCTAGGAAACGTCATCAGTTTACTTGGCATTGTTGTGTTACATTACTGCCGTCAACAATCCGCTTTCATTAATGCCGAAAGAGCTGAGCTGTGAATTGCTTGTAGAAGAAGTGCGTCGTAAAGTAGATAATTTTGTGCTGGTAAAACGTTTTACAATATCACAGGTATTTATGTTATATAAGAATTATTAAGAAATCTATTGTTGCATTAATTTGTTGTGTCATACTATGTACAAGATGGATGACATTGAAGCTAAAAGACTCCATAACGCAGAATATGAGACAATACAGAAAACAAAAAAAAAAGGAGTATTAAATGATGAACTCCAGAGTGTATGGTCAATGGTGAAAAAGTTTTATTTGTAACCACAAACCTATTGATGATTGTAAGAGACTTATTTTGAGTCATTTGAGACACAGAAAATCCTAATACAATGCCGATAATATTGACAGGAGATTTTAACATTGTTTTGAAGAAGGAGGAAAATCAAAGCTTTCTCACATTTATGGAGAAAACGTTTGGCTTAATGTTGATGTCAAATCCTCAATGTAGTACTACTAGATCAAAATCTTGTATAGATATGGTGTTTGATACTCTAAAGTGCACAAATTTTATAACATATTTCAGCTATCACAGACCAATCTTAAGCGTAACTAATTCAAGTTACATAAGCAAAGTCTTAATCAAACTTTACTCAATTGTAAAGCATGTATAAAGGAAATATTTAGAATAAAGCCAATATATAAACTTCCTTTCCGTATAGACGTATTTACGTCAAATTATCCGGAACCGTGGTTCCACTGACAACTTTTATGTCGTGCTTCTTATCTTGGAAACAGGTTTTTGTTTGAATTTTTTAGGTTTTAGCCTGGTAATTTTTGTATAGACTGTTGTTTCTGAGTTTCTGCAGTAAGAGGATCAGAATTGTTATTCCTGTGTTGAACTTTAGTGTCAGAGAAGCAACAGTTAATGGGATGTTAACTTATTCGATATTAAACCAACAAAACAGTTGCTGACAACAGTTATGAAGGATGATTCTCAATAAGACAAATGAGGGATTTCAGCTACTGAGATGGTATTAGTTGAATATTAATATTGTTAGAATCTACCACTGATCTTAAAAAAAAGGAAGCCTGAGATAACATACTAAGTTTGATCAATAAAATTTATGAATCAGATTTTTATTTGATGCTTGTTTATTGCTTTTCAGTGCTGTAAGACATTTCTGTTTCTTTATAATGCAGCACAGCTGCAAAATTCTGAACAGGTATAATTTTCTTGATATCTGTAATTGTATAATTAGATTTAGAGCATTTGTTTTGTTTTACATATCATTCTTAGTGATTTATTTTCTTCTACTGGACACACAAAACTTAGAGAGTACAGAAGCGACAGCAGGTTGACGACAGAGTTGCGGGTGCAGGTACCAGGAGAATAAATTGATGTCTGTGTTTGCACTTAAAGAGATTGTAAAACAAATTATGTGTTTAAGATTTTGTTGAAAGTAAGGAAAGTCTTTTCCTGCACCATAGAGTAAGTGTGAGTGAGTGAAGGAAAGTTTTTATATTGCCTGTGATTGGGAACCGTTGTGAAGGAGGTATCACTAAATTTTTAAGTTTATCATATGAATGTTCTGTAACAGTACTGAACTAAGGAATTACATTGAAATCAGTACATATAGAAGCATAGTTCTATAAAGGTTGCAAATTCAGATTTGTCTGAGAATTACGCCAAAAATAATGAAGTCAAGTTTATAATAAAGAGCAATGGGTTATTGATAGTGAAACATTGTGTGCCTTCAGATCACGTGCTATCGAGCGGTTCCTCTCCGAATGCTGAGTCGAATATGGGGCTGGATAACTAACAAACAGTTACCTCTGTCAGTTCGACCGTTTGTGTATAATTATTACGCCTCAACATTTGGTTGTAATCTGCAAGAAGCAGCCTATGAAGATCTCACATCGTACAAAAGTTTAGCAGAATTCTTTTGTCGACCGTTAAAGGATGGTGTTCGGCCTATTGACAAAATCGATTGCATTGTGAGTAATTGTTTGTCTTTTCTCTGGGTTATGTATGTGGGAGGCTGACTCATCTATAAAATTAAGGGGTCTTTTAATCTCCCATGATAGTAACAGACATACATTCAGAATATAATATAAACAACCTCCTGGTCTTTGGGTTAAGAGTTTGGTTACTCTGAAACCTTATATTTCTCACTGTCTGGGTACGCACATATTCTTCATACTTTTCTCATCTCTTATCGTTCATTAAGTCCAGACTTGGTGACTTTGGGGTACCACGATGCTTTGGAGCATAATGTAAGCTGTAACCATCTTTGTAAATGGAATCTTATCCTGTTGATGTTCTTACATCAAAAGTGGATTGCCTCATCCTTCCCAAGTGGAAGGAGATCAGAAAGATGAACGGATCATAATTAGAGACAAAAACAATAATGAAAAGACAGTCGTGTAAATTGTTATTAACATATTTTTGTAATTCTGATGTTTGTCATTGCTTCTGCTTCCTAAAATGTATTTTCTGTTGTTTTGTGTAGTTGTGAAACATGGCCTCTGACTCTGAGGAAGGCATACAGATATACTTGAAATGACTAGAGAATAACTTTAAAATAAGTTTTTTTAATGTAGGATTTGAAGTTTTCATGACAGTGAGTCTGAAAATGGCTGTTTTTTTAGTTGTTGTGCCACGTCGTCTGGTAGAAGTTTTCCGACATTTCAGAGATCTCTGAAATGTCAGTAAACTTCTACCAGACAAATTTGTGCAACAACCCAGAAGATAACCATCTCCAAGTTTCTTATACTTTCTTTGCATGAAGTGCAACCTTCAAGGGCAGTAACTTGAACTGATGAGTGATAATGGAACAAGTGCTAAATGTACGGGTCTGTGTATACTCATTATGATGTATGTCTATTTGCAGGAAATAATAATTTTAAATTGATTTCATTCAAATTTTGAATCATAGTTGGGTGCCTGATTGACCCACATTTATTCACTTCTGCTGACGAATACCGTTGTGATTGCTTAGGTATCGCCAGCAGATGGTCATGTGATTAGCTTTGGCCCTGTTGATACATGCAAAGTGGAACAGGTGAAGGGCGTGACGTATTCATTGCAGCAGTTCCTTGGGGATCCCACGTGGAGTAGCAAACTCTCACATTCATATGCAGACCATGATACAGGTAATGAATAGTATTTTTTAATTACAAATGGTACCAAAATTATTCACGAAATCAAAGTTTTTTTGAAAGAGTTAAGATACTTGCTTTTCTATAAATGCTTTGATAATCTGGGTGAGGATTATTTGTTACCTTCTGTATTTGCTAAAATTGTAATGTCATAATCAGTCTGAATTAATATGGCAATGATCTAGTCTAATTATGGAAGGCAAGTGGTACATGATATAGCGGCATTTCATTTTGACAATTTTCAGTGTTGCCACGTCATGAAAAGTGGCGGTCATTGTCTTATGCATTATTTCATATGTTTTGACCATACGTCATGTGTAGAATAATAGTGCGTACAAACATTAGCGTGTCGCAACCCAAAAGACCGACAACATTGATATCTTTACCACTGAGAGATACTCAGATCTCAAAAAATTTGTAGTAAACTGATACCAGTCAGTTTGAAAGACCTCAAAATAAAGATTGCAACATCAGAGAAGACACAGCCTATGCTGGAAGCTGGTCTTACTTTGTGAGCCAAGTCCTCACATGTCCGAAAGTTAGTCATTTGGAAGATACGGTCATTTTAAAGATAAAGGTTGCTGATGGAATAATTATATGAGTAATTTACATTTAATTAATATTATTACATGTAGCTGTAATTTACAAATACTAATGAAATTCTGTAAATAATTTTAATGATTATGATAATGAAGTGCTCGAAATGACCTCCCTGATTATAATCATCTGTCTACAGTATGGTTCTTCATGAAATGGAAGTAACAGACCTCAGGAGAGAGGGCTGGTCATTTATTATGTGAGTGGAATATCTATTTTGCAATTCAACAGCTGAGCCCTAGTCCAAAGGAGTTGGGTCAAGTGACCTTGGTGGCCAAGCAACTGGACCCAGTTGCCCAATCCAGTGATTCTGAAAAACTTGATTGAAAAATGCAGTTATCTGCCTGCCAAAATAAGGGGTTGTTCCATCTAACTGCATTCACAGCTGTTGCCTCCATTTATTTTATGCCGTTCCGCCAGCAGCATTAAAATGCCATGACCTTGTAACGACCAAGTTTTCGGCGTGTGATTAATGAACCGATTTCACTCTAATTGAGCCTAAAACACATTCTTGGGCTGTGGACATCATGTTGCAGGTTACCCTGTTTATAAAACACAGTAGAGTTCCAATTATCTGACCTAAACAGGACTGAAGGACAGTTGTAAATTGAATATGTTGGATAATACGTATCTGACGACAATAAATTTCCATACGAAATATTAGGACCTTATATTCAATGGTGGTGTTGACAGATACACTCACTGCATCTGACTACAAGCAGTCCCTGCTCCTAAACAAAGATACTGCTCTGTACCAGTGTGTGGTGTACCTGGCACCGGGAGATTACCACCGGTTCCACTCGCCCGTTAACTGGGATGTCACCTTCAGGAGACATTTCCAAGGTAAGATACAGGGAATATTGTGTCACAATGAGAAAGTACTGCATAAACTCATATGATATGGCTTGTTCACATATTTGCATATTTGTATGTTTATTATTACAAATTTCCATTCCCCATCCAAGCTTCATATTGAATCCATCGTAACTTGTGCTAATATAACAGAGCTCATTGTTTTATTGTTCATTGGTTTATCAACAACATCAACTCTGAATGTTATGTATTGTTAGTTGACAGAATGATTATGAATGTTGAATTGGGAAAGGACATGGAAGGAAGCGGTCTTCATGTATCTTAAGGTGTTAATCGTAATATTTAACTGTTACATTTATGTAAGAGATCACACAAACTATTAAGCGGCCCATCCACGCACGAGTCTGCACCATCAATACAGACATTTTCAAATATCGTATTTACTCTCAAATAACAGGCGTGCCTATATAACACGCATCCTTATTTTCGGACTGCAAAATGAAAAATCTGAAGATGAGATAGGCATAATTAGCATTAATTGTTGCACGTGTATTTTATAATGAAACTTACCTAGACACTCATATTTTAAATCAGATGGTGGCTTAATTTTTAACTTCTCTTTGAGAGCAACAGAAAACGCAAAATTTGGATCAAGAAGTTGTTGACAGAATTCATCTGCACGTCTTTTGGTTTGTTCAAAAACTCTCCCAAAAAAAAAATGTCCACTTGGAATTGTTGTAAGAGTTCAAGAAAGAGGGTAAATGACTCCAATGGTTGAATGTGGTGTGGAAAATGTGCCTGGGCACTTTGTTACACAAGCCCACCATGTTGGTTTTAGACAGATTTCAAGGACATATGACAAAAAGGGTGGAAGCAAAAGTTAAAGAGGATTCCACTCTTCTGGTTAATCCTCAGTGGGATGACCAAGCTTTTGCAACCTCTGGACGTTGTCATTAATTGGCCATTCATGGTCGCTTTCCAGTGGATGACAACCATGAACTGAGGCCTAGCACTGGAAGGAAGTGAACACCATTGCCGACGGTGTGTGAATGGATCCTTGCAGCGTGACATTCAGTTTCTCCAGAAATTGTGGAAGAAAGTTTGTAAATTCAAATGAAATGGACAGGAGTGAGGATTTCATGATCAGTGACATACTGGGAACGACCCGTTCTTCAAGTGCCTGAGTGTTGCGGGTACCAACTTTTTCGTTGGCTCGATCTATAGACATTTTGGTAGTACTCCTTGGACAAGGGATCAGCCCATCGCAAGGCCTGTACCAGGACAGCACAACACAGAAAAACGCTGAAAAACATCCATGGCTTGATTGGGATTCGAACCCATGGTCTCAGCGACCAAGCAGCACAAGGCCTGCGGCCACTGCGGACCCCATTACAGCATACACACACTAATTTTAGGAATCAATCATTTTAGGAATTAATAATTTTAAAAAAAATTCATACACAAGTAAATATGGTACTTCTAATTTACGTCCTCCTCTCCGAGTTATAAACCAAATTTCACTGTAATTTTAATTATTTATTGATATGTAATGATGTGAGTTGTTCTGTTTTTTTAGGAGAACTCCTTAGTGTGAACCCAAAGGTGGCACAGTGGATACCTGACCTGTTTACGTTGAATGAGCGGGCTGTATATGTGGGTCGTTGGAAGCATGGTTTCTTCTCACTGACAGCTGTTGGCGCGACAAATGTCGGCTCCATTCATGTTTACTGTGATAAGGTATTGTGTTATATCCAGATTACCTTGCTTCTTGACAGTTGAGTATTTTTCCATATGGCGTAGTCTGTGGACTGAATGTTTTCTGTGTAAAGGAAAACAGGCGAGGTTTTCCAAAAGATCCGGATGCTTCTCATTCACGCTATTTAGCACAGGATATTGCCTTAGTAATTCAGCTTGGTGTGGCAGTGCTAAAGCACTCAAAGTAGAGGTATTTCGCTATTGGTACGTGCACGCCCGAAATACATCAATTTCTTCCACTGTCATTGATTTCGAAGTCTACAATGAAGTTCTCGTTTGAATACTGCCACATTTTTATTAACTGTTCTAAATAACAGCTGGTCTTGGTTAATCCGTCTCTTCCAAAATTATGTTCTGGAAAATAGTTTAAGATTTTCAGAATGCCATTTGTGTCTTTTGTCGCAACTTGCGGCCCAAATCCACCGGTGCAAAATTGTTTTGTCTCCCTTATATATTTATGTTTTTCCATTCAAAATCTAATTCTCCTGCTTTGCCATTAACATAACTTATTAATGAATAAATTAGTATCTAAGAACCCACAGAATTTTTCGCTGTCACTCTCTGAATCTAATAAATTTGTTCCGAACTATTTATACAGTTTATGTAAACTTTAAGCAAGTTCTGCTTATCTCATCGTACTGCTAGTGGCTGCCGTGGCTTTCGACTTGGGAAGCGGGTGCCTAGTTTATTAGGATCTGAGACGGCCTTGCATTCAGTATACGAAAGGAAGAAATCACAATGAAGTGTTATTCTTCATTGGAATGGATAACCAATATAAAGCCAGGCCATTGACATTCTAATGATTGCTTTCCGTACTCTTTTCAATCTGCTGTTTGTCATTATAAATGGTGGTAGTTGTGGGAAATGTAAAAATTGTTATTACAATACCGCATAACTAACTCCACGGAGCAGAGTTCTTCCTGATAGGCTGTTATTGCTCAGACAGTCAAGAAATTCAAAGTCTTACGGAGCCTTAAGGTTCATTACTGTGTTTATAAGGGTCTGCTAGTGGACCCTGAGCCAGATGAATCCAGTCCACATCCTCACACCCTGTGTTTAAGGTTACTTTTAATATTGTCCCCCCAATTAGCTTCTTTCCTTCGTGTTTTCTTCTAATATTTCATATTCACTTCTAATCTGTACCAGTGCATGACGCAAGCCGTGCCAGCCTCGTCCACCTTGACTAAATTATATTTGGTGAAGTGTGCAAATTATGGAGCTCGTCATGCAGCCTTTTATTTCCTCCCTCTCTGATCCATTATTCCTTGCAGAATTTGCTATTGATACAGCTTTATTAATTAGTCAAAGAGCTCTTTGAAATATTTAACTAGGGTAATTAAATAATATATGAGATTACAGTGCTTGGATGAAGTCTGGTGAATGCAGTTTTGTTTATGCTACAGGGACTCGTTACAAACCAGCGTAAGTGGCAGATGATGAAGTCCCGGCACAAAGATTCGTTCCTGGTGGATATGCAGGGAGAGACGGTCGAGATGCGCAAAGGACAGCCGTTTGGCGAATTCCGCCTAGGTTCCACAGTTGTGCTTTTGTTTGAAGCTCCAAAGGACTATAAGTTCAAGCTGAGGACAGGCCAGCGAATTCTAGTGGGCGAAGGCGTTAGCGAGTGTCACGTAGAGTAGCGTAGAGCAAAGTTTAGAAAACCTGCGAGTGGAGTGATGATGTGAAAGGCTGTGCCTTCAGACTGAGATGCAAGTGTGTTTTCCTACCGTTGGTTGCTATCGTCATGTATGTAATATTCTGTTTGCTTAAAAAAACTATTCTGCAGCAGAAACTTGTATTCTTCATTTAAAGTGTTGATATTTCTTTCATAATGCCATATTACCCTCAGTGAGTCATTGCTGTAATCCAGTACAGGCATACCTCGTTTTATTGCGCTTCACAGATACTGCGTTTTTTTTACAAATTGAAGGTTTGTGGCAACCCTCCGTCGAGCAAGTCTATTGGCGCCATCTTTCCAACAGCACGTGCTCACTTCGTGTCTCTGCGTCACATTTTGGTAATTCTCGCAATATTTCAAACTTTTTCATTATTATTATATCTAGGATTTGAGACTTTCGCGGCGAGTAAAATCTTCTAGGGCAATCAGCTGCGTTAACTGGTTACCGTAACAGGTGACTTCCGAGGATCCAGTCATATCAGAACCCTGAAGATGGGGACAGAGTTTGTTCCTGAAACGTTGGTTTACTACGGTTAACCAATTGACGCGGCTGATTGCCCGAGAAGATTTTATTAATTATTATATCTGTTAATAGACTACAGTATAGCGTAAACATAACTTTTATATGCACCGGGAAACCAAAAAATTTGTGTGACTCGCTTTATTGCGGTGGTCTGGAACCCGCAATATCTCCGAGGTATGCCTGTACATAGATTTGTCGTAAGTTGGTTTATTTAATACTGCTGTTTCACTTACAAATGTTGTATAGTGTTCAGTAGTGGATAACAAGAGAAGTATGAATGATGAATAACAAAGAATGTAGTCTGTTATTTTCTAATATATCGTGACATAAAATGGAAATCTTGGCACAGTAAGAAATTATATCCTGTGCAGGGTCATTGTATGTGAATATATTTGGTACTGTTATAGCAAAAGAATGTTTCTGGATATGAGCGTTGTATAAGAAGCTCCATTAAGTAAATTGAACATTTATGTATCTGTTATTCACAGACGCCATCAATACTGGAAATTATATTTATCTGTTATTCCACACCCATCAGCGGTGTGACAATATCTGCACTTCAAATTTGGTAAGTTGTTTATTTTACATTTAGGTCGATTTAGTTTCAGTTACCAGAACCAAGATGGAAGAGTAAAGTAATATAATGGAAGCTGAATGCTTATTTTTATAGACTTTAAACGCTTCTGTTCAATCTCCATATGTATTTGATATGTGGAGAATATGTATTGAATTTCTGATTTGTACATTAGGGATCTCCTAGGTTAAAAGCTCTTACGTAAGAAGCAAGCAAGTGGGCATTTAGTATGCCTAGAAGCCAACGGAACAACATATTATTTTTATTATTCATAAACTAGTATATATGAAAGAATTATTCATTCATCTGCTGAATCATGTTTTGTATAACCTCAAATGTAAATGAGTTGTAGGAATAATTTATAGTTTATTATTTGATAATTATGTCATTATTGAAACTGTACAGTTTTCTTATTGGCTCAGAGAAGAATGCACAAGACAGTTTTTACATATTTGTCATTAAATATTCTCCAAATTATGAATTTCATAAATTTATTTTGGCATATTATGTATGTTACCAAAATATTTTGATTAACCACTTCCTGTCAGCCATTAGAAGTATGGTCTTAACTTTTCAGGGTGATATATGAAGAAAAAATAGCCTGCATTGAAAGGATTGACTTTTATTAAACTTGTTGCCTTTTAAATCCCTGTCAGATCAGGAATTTCTTTGCTGTAAGTGGTCATTATTTTCGTCGCCGTGTTATAAAGAATTAAAGAGACTATTTGCTCCACACGCAGCATCCCATTTCACGAATTTACAACTTAAATTTATCTACGTCGATTATATTTTCCTCTAACCTGCGAAAAAACTTTTTTTCCAAGTGATTGCTTCCCTAAAGGTGTGCAACCCATATTTTATATGCATCTCTCTTTCTGCAGTACGTGCAGCATGTCTGTTCAACCCAATCTTTGATTTAATCACCTAACAATATTAAACGGACAGTACAATTTAACTTCTAATGTGTAACTTTCCCTATTGCGTAATTCCTCTAGGCATCTTTGGCACTTCTTTTTAAAACACTCCCCAATCCATTTTCTTTTCTCGTGTTCACTGACGCACACATTCCCAGATACTACTCACACCTATGCCTGGCGGCGTGGTGATGCTACGTACTATTTCGTATCGATAGACGTGCGAGGTTTATGCACCTTATAAACAAAAGGGTAGCGACGTGACATGCGCGAGGTCGTACGGCAGGAGGCCTTTCTGTCCGGCTACCGGAGCGGTAGTGTAGAACGCTCGTAACAATGAGCTGGTGGACTTTGCAGGTGGTCGTTGTGATTGTGGGTGTAGGAACAAGGGCTGTGACGCAAGAGACCGGCCCTCATTCGGGGCCCACGGCTGCTGACAGGGGTTACACTGCAGGTGAGTTTATTTGGCTGGGGACCGCACCCCTGTGGGACAGACAAGCAAGTTTGAGAAATCTCCAAGACTTGATGCGGTTCGCTGGTGCTACACTGGCGCTGAGAAAAACCCGAGGCTTAATAACGCAACATTAGTGCCAATTTGCTATTAACGTAGATGCATGGCATGTTGGAGTAAACCTTGGGGATTAATATAGGACGTTACTGTCGCTTTAATATTAGGGTAATTACACAGTTACTCAGCACGTGAAATAAACGCCTCGTTAAGTGTTGGCAGACATCGAATGGCGAAGTAGACCATAAACAGACTCAAGTCTCATAGGAAGATTATAGGTTATGGTATCGTCATAAAAAACTGTCAAAATCATTGCATATTAGGAATTCATTTTACAGGATTACAACTGTGTCCATCTACCCGCCTCCTGTTTAAGGTATTTTCAACTCTTAATTATTGTTTTAAACCGGATTTAGATACAAAATTACCTACGTTTAAACGAAACCTACAGCAATGCCTGATTAGGTAAACATTTGCCTGATGTATTTTCTATACATAATGGCCTGAAACACGTAGATTCTTTGTCGCCGTTGCTTTGGAATACGCCAAAGAAAATAAGGAGAGGATGACATTTAATGGAATATATCAACACTTAAACTTGTTTAAACCTGCGTTGATCGTTAATTCGAAGGAGTGTAAATTAACAGAAACGTTATTAGACGCTGCGCGTGAACTGAAGTTCGGACTGCGATGTTTCGGCGCGTGGACTTGTAGAAAGACACCAACATTTCGGAGAAAAATACTGCCTCCCTGTTCAGGACTGAAGAGACTGTTTTGTCGAAACGTTGGCATCTACAAGATGATGCTAAAGTTAGGTTAGGTCTACAAATGAACACTGAGAACAGCGGGCCAGTGTTGACTTCTCGTCACCAGAATTCTCGGTAAATTAAAATACGAAATTCTTCTAAAATATTCCACAATTCAAATAAAATATTACATTCACAAAGTAATAAAGAGAAATTAGTCTCGGGGAATGTTTCATACCATTAATTTCAGGATTTATTTTCTCGTTTCCTGTCGAAACACCAACGAATTAAAATATAAGAAATTGTAATTAAACTCTTATTGTTTTCTGTGGGTGAGCAACTTGGCATTTCGCTGAGCGTTTGAGAACAGGATGCTGAGGAAAACGTGAGAATTACATAACGAGTAACTCTACAACATTACTGTACAAATGTTACTAGGGGTGACCCTGAAGGTGTGTTATGGGGGAGAGGGTTGGATTGAGTTCGCTCAGGATAGGGAGTGGTGTCGGAGTGTTGTGAAAACAATAATGAAGTTTCGGGTTTTACAAAATGCGGGAACTTTCAGCTTCTCAGGAAGGACTCTGCTCCGTGCAGTTGTCTCGTTAAGAATATAAAATTTGAAGTGGTTCGAGGTTTTAAGCAAAAAGTCGATAACATGATTTTGCGTTGGTTTCGAAAACTGGACACGTGATGACGGTGTGGCTGTGACGTACTTTCTGGGAACCTCGAAACTTTCCGGTGCTCTGTCTAATTCAGTATCAGGAGCGATTTGAATAATAAGTATCATATTTATTGATTTACAAGTTACGTTGACTTTCGTAGGAAATTTTAGCTGGAATCAAAGTGACGATGTAATTGAGCCTTCCTACACGCGACCACTAGAAACGGAATTTTCGTAATATTTTTAGGACGTGGGAAACATTAACGCATAATGTACTCTGATAAAGAAACCTCTTCCAAGACGACCAATCAGAAGACAGGGGAAGGCATATACAGGGTGATTCAAAAGGTTAGAGCCAAACTGAAGGAACGTATAGAGGGACTCAGAGAGAACAACTTTCGATTAATCGTACTTTGCTATTCTCCTACTAGCTTAATTTTGTTTTTTCTATTAATGTACAAGGATTACATTAGCAATCTTACAAACAAAATGTTATCAGACTCCCCTACCTTCAATGGCCTCGATTGACTCAGGATAACATCGGAGGACATGGATTCCTATTCGAAAGTTGTTCTCTCCGAGTCCATCTACACGTTCCTTCAGTTTGGCCCTAACCTTTAGAATCACCCTGTATATGTTTTTTAAGGCAACACTTTTTACGATAATTGAACTTGAGGGTCGAGTGGTTAGTATTCCTACTTCATATTCAGAAATATGGACATCGATAATCATGGCGGAGATCCATACTTCCTTTTACAAAACATAGCTAGGGTAGCAGCTTAAAATAGGCCACTGCCGATGCTTCATGCAGAATAATCTCCATTTCGCCGTTCATAAGACTCGCAAACAAAGATGTTCCGAGCCCCGAAGCCAGAAATTTTATTCGTGTTAGTAAAGCATCTCTGATTTCATTTCGGAGGGCGGAGTGGGGAATCTTTTCATTGTATAACTCAGATTTACAAACGTACAGGGTTGGTGAATCTTCTTTTTCCGTCATTAAAAGACGTTGTCATGTTGTAGGCATTCCAGGGCAACCTCAGACCCTCCCTCTAACACAGTCTGGGCTGGCTAATTAGTTAATCCTCCAACGCTGACGTGAGGGTCATCATGCTGTAGACGCCAACAGCGCAATTACGAGTTACCAGCGTCAAAATCAATCTCCCGAGACAGCGACAACCCCCCCCCCCCCCCGGGA